TTGCAGGCGTTGAGCCGGCATGAAATACTGTCCCGCTCTGCTGAGCACACCAAGCTTTTTAGAGGCCAATTTGGCCTTCTCTTCCAAGTGACCACGAAACTGCACGCTACTCGATATGTCGACGCCGAGGATTCCGATACTGGCTGAGGCAACAAGGGGAGTACCTTGAAACTGAGGAGATACGACAAAGGGGTTCTTTTTAGCGGTAAACGCGCAAACTTGTGTCTTCTGAGGATTAAACTGGACTAGATTTAGTCGCCCCCAATCCGAGACTTTGTCCAGCAAAGACTCGACTTCAGACACAAGTTTGTTCCGGTACTCAGTGACGTTTTCCCGAGAAATATTGGCACGGCCGGTGTATAGAGCATCACCAGTGCTGTCATCCGCATAGCAATGAATGCTGCCGGCTTGCAACATATCATTGATATGCAGAAGAAACAGCGTTGGTGATAGCACGCAGCCTTGTGGAACACCAGCGTTAATAGGCTTGTAGTCGGAGCATGCACCGTCTACAACGACCTTGATGCTCCAATCTGCAAGAAAGCTGGTGATCCAATTGCATAATTTCTCGGGAAGCCCATAGGAAGGGAGCTTCGAAAGAAGCGCTTTGTGCCAAACCCGATCGAAGGCCTTCGCAATGTCCAAACTAACGGCCAATGCCTCCCCCTTGGACTCTACTGCCAACGCCCATCTATGAGTTAAGTAGACCAGAAGATCACCAGCTGATCGACCCCGACGAAAACCGTACTGGCGGTCACTAATCAGCTGGTGATCCTCAAAGTACCGCATGAGGTGGCAGTTTACAACGGATTCCATTATTTTGGAGAACAAGGGGGTGATGGCGATAGGCCTGTAGTTGGACGGGTCTGAGCGGTCGCCTTTTTTAGGGATCGGGTGGACAAAAGCTGTCTTCCATGATTTCGGGACTACGCCTAGGGAGTAGGAGTACCGGAAAAGACGCGTTAGAACCGGTGCCAACTCCGGAGCACACGTCCTCAGCACAATTGGGGGGATTCCGTTAGGCCCACTCGACTTGTGGATGTCAAGGGAGAGGAGTGCTCTGCGAACCGAGCGCTGTGAGAACCGCACATCCGGCATGGAGCACTCACACCGCGGGATGGTCGGCGGTGTGTTCCCCCCGTCATCAACAGTCGAGTTGGACGCAAAAAGGGAGCCTAAAAGGTCGGCCTTCTCTTTTGCGTCGTGGGCCAGTGAGTCGTCCTCCCTGTGCAGAGATGGTAGTGATGGCTTACAGAAATTCCCTTGGACAGCCTTGGCGAGAGACCAGAATGCACGGGTTCCCGAAGGAAGGCGAACTAGTTTCTCGCCAATTCTGCCTATGTGCTCTGACTGCCTTGGCAATAACTCTTTTGAAGGACCTGGAGGTGAAGTTATACTTCTTTTTGAGTGTGCTGGTGTTTACATCCCGAGTCACCGAAGCCGCAGCCCAGGCTTGATAACACTCCTGCTTACTGCGTAATGCAGTCTTACAGGAGCGACCAAACCAAGGCTGAGATCTGCCTCCGATGGGTACCACAGATGATGGAATAAATAGTTCCATTCCCTGTAGCACCACATCAGTGACAGAGTCAGCAACAGCGCTGGGATTATCCGGCGAGAAGCAAACCCGCCGCCATGGGTAGGAAGCAAAGAAAGACCGCATTCCATCCCAATCCGCCGACCTGTAATGCCAAACACGGCGGCAACCTGCAGAACGCAACCGCGAGGGGAGCGTGAGTGGCACCACACTCCGGATCAGACAATGGTCCGAAGAGCCAAGAGGGGCATCGACGGAAACCTGATATCCGTCCGGAAGAGAGGTCAGCAGAAGGTCCAACAGGGAAGGTGTATGATCCTCAACATCTGGAATCCGCGTAGGCGATGTAACCAGTTGTGTCAGACCATATGCCAAGGCAAAGTCATAAACAGATCTCCCCGCATGATCGGTTAAACGTGAACCGAGCCATTCGGCGTGGTGGGCGTTAAAATAAATTGCACAAGGACAAACATCCAGACCCGGAACAATTATTTGTAGGCCATACGAATACTTGTTCCGTGCGGGATTCGAACCCGCGGGCCCCAGCGCAACAACTGATTGCTAAGCCACTGCGCCATGGAGTCGTCGCCGGGTTATAGCTAAAGTGACCATACGTCCCGTTTTGAACGGGACTGTCCCTTTTCTCGGTCACCTGTCCCACTGTCCACAAACAAAGCTCCGTGACACAAAATTGTCCCGTAACTCGTTGGATGGAAGTATTCAAAGTCAACAATCTTCAACATATTTTTTTTTAATCGAATATATTTTATGTCTACCTGGTACAAATGCTCCAGTAGAAAGAGTATTTTTTATTTTGAATAAATATTGGACGTCTGAAAGAAACACTTACGGTTCCAGTTCTAAAGGCGATGTTGTTAACAAAGGTAACAATAAAAAAACTTGAGCAGAATTTTATTCTTATTTAAAATCATCACCAACTTTATTAAAGCAAATTTAATCCACTGACAAATGTAATTAATAATTTAAAAAAATATGTTGCATTTAATAATTACCGTCTATACCGAATATAATTTTATAGTGAACACTAATTGTATAAAGTTATAGTTTTTAGAGTATAAATAAACCCATGTCCTGTTTTGAGTTAAAAAATAAATGGTCAGTTTAGTTTTTTTTAGTTAGATTTAGTTTTAAAAAATCATAGTTTATAGTAAAAAGTAGGTATATTAATACCTACTTAGATACTTTTTACTGAATTAGGGTGGAAGCCCCTAATACCAGTCATGCCCCAATTTCCAGTCATGCCCCTAATTCCAGTCTTTTCGCCTTTTTACTCCATAGTCTTAACTACAAATATTGTCATCTAAAAAATTCTTTGTACCTAGAGGAAACTATATTTATTCAAATATTACCTCGCAGTTTTAAACCTAACAGTGTTAAAATCAAAACAGGTACGCAACGAAAAACGATCATTTTCCTAATTATTTGACAAGTTATGATCCCGGTAAAATTATGCTTACTTTACATTATCTCATATATAGGCTTTTTGATTTATATGAATATGACTATAGACATAGTATTGCAGTTATTTTTGTTTGAATTTACAAGTTTTTTATTTATTTTTAGTGGAAATTAATGTGGCTGTAATTAGATATAAGAAATGTATAGCGTGCATAATGTCAGCCGCCCGGCTGTTATTTGGTTTGACGTACCTAATAAGAAGTATCTAATTTCAGCCACATAATATAAATCAGGGCTGCCATAAACTGGAATAAATACCATTAATTAGATCATAACTTATTTTATAGCTAAGGGAGTTATGATCAATTCGTCTGTTTTAAAGTTGGTTTTAGATTTTAAAGTTTAGCAAAAGATATACTAGCTTTTCTCTCTGACATTCGGCGTATAGAACACCTTATGTACTCAATTATTTTTTGAAAAAGAAGAAAAAAACAAGCAATAAATAATATACTATATTTTAGCAAAAAACTATAACTTAGTAATACTAATTATAACTTAGAACATAAATAAAAAAACTCATAACTGACTTTTGGCCCGACCCGGGATTCGAACCCGGGACCTCATGATCAGCAGTCGCACTACTACAACCACTAGACCAACCAGGCAGTACTATACTCGTACCTAATAAGATATTGTGGTTGGGTATTAGGATTATTTTTAACTGTATACTATACTGATAATATTGAATTAGCCTTTTATAGTGTAAATTATAATATTTGTCGAAATGTTAATTATGGATTCGAACCTTACATGCTAATGGTGCTTCATTTTTTTATTTGCATTTACTTCAAAGAAAATACACGCAAAAACCTTCATCGCGCAGTAAAAAACACAACAAATATATGTATAACTAATACGAAAAATGATACCCAAAACAAACAAATAATACTACCTATAAATAACCTAATAAGTAATAATATTATCGACTGATAAGATGACGTGAGCGTGTGCGCTGGCCGACGCTCTAACGACACGGGTTTCACGTGGAAGAGCTCAGCGCTCACTGACTCCAGCAAGCCCGTGGGCAGTGAATACGCTCAGATTTTAAAATAATTTCTTAATAAAATAAAATTTTGGTCTTTTGAAAAAAAAAATTATAATAGAAATGTTCATTAATAAATTGCCTATCCATTGGTGTAAATCGCAAAATAAAATAATACTTACTTTACGAGGAGATGCATGTTATCAATAATAATTTCACATTTATGTGGTTTCGTTGTAAGCAGATTATATTAATATTTATTCCTTTAAAAAAAAATTGGATATAGCTCTTATGAAATCAAGATTATGTAGAAATATAATGTGTTTTTTATTTGTTGATACGAGGGTGGATTGAAAAGTACTCGGCCTAACCAAGAAAATAAACAAATACTAAATCAGTTATATTTTTATTTTTCTACATAATCACCATCAAGTTCAATACACTTTTGCCACCTCCCCTTCCAAGCATTTAGACCGTTGAAAAAAAATGATTCTTCCTTAGAGTCAAAATATGCGTCTACAGCTGCTTTGACCTCGTCGTTTGTCGAAAATCTTTGACCTCCCAAGTGCTTTTTTAGGTTAGGGAACAGAAAGAAGTCTGATGGTGCCAGATCAGGTGAATACAGCGGATGCGGTAACAGTTCAAAGCCACAGTTGTGAATTTCAGCCATTGACTGTACTGACGTGTGAACACGGGCGTTATCTTGATGAAACAGGACTTTTCTTCTGAGCATTCCTCGACGTTTTTCTTTTATTTCCTCTCGTAAACGACGTAGTAAGGTGCAGTAGTAATCAGAGTTTATATTCTGACCCCTTTCAAGATAATCAATCATAATCACACCTTTCGAGTCCCAGAATACTGAAGCCATCACCTTATTTGCCGACAAAATCGACTTAGCCTTTTTAGGGGGTGGTGAACCAGGTCTTCTCCACTGTTTTGATTGTTGTTTTGTTTCCGGTGTACAGTAATGAACCCATGTTTCGTCCATAGTAACAAAACGATTCAAAAATCATCTGCATCGGCTTCAAATAACTCCAAACAGTCGCGTGAAATAGTCAATCGCGTCCTTTTTTGTTCAACTGAAAGCAGTCGCGGAACCCACCTCGCAGACACCTTGTGGAAACCCAACTCGTTGACAATGATGTTTTGAGTTCGTTTATAAGAGATGCCTATAATCTCGGCTATCTCTCTAATTTTTAATCTGCGGTCTCCCATTATTAAATCAAGTACTTTTTTAATATTTTCGTCAGTAGTTGACGTCGAAGGCCTTCCAGAGCGGGGTTCATCTTTCACACTCTCTCTACCATGCTTAAATTCTGCTATCCATTTTTTGACGGATGAATATGACAGAGCACAATCGCCTAATGTACTGACCATGTCATCATGGATACCTTTTGATGATAGCCCCTTCTTATGGAGGTACTTAATGACGGCACGCTGCTCGATTTGCTCCATTCGCGGAAATTATGTCCGATTACTTTGTTAATAAATTTATAAAATCACAACTAATTATCGCACACGTTTCGAACTTCACACAATGAACTAGTCTGAACTGAACTAAATAATGTGGGTAGATTTGATTTTTAGAATTGAATGGATCTGTGTTAGGCCGAGTACTTTTCAATCCACCCTCGTATATCTTTTAAATAAAAAGTAGATAGCTCCTAAAAACCGCACAAATAACGACTATCGCGACATTTTGCTCAACCTGCGCCTTAGTAACTTATATTGAAGTCGGCTGTACAAAGTTTTTAATTTTAAATTATATCGATATAACATCTATCGATATATTGTTTATCGATATTTTTACATAATAAAAGTTAGATCTCTATACTGAATGATTTATGCAATATAAAACCATTATGAAAGTAATAATTATTAGGTGGGGATTAAGTAAAAATGCCGAGCAGGATAAGAAATCAATGTATTTACACAGCAATTTGTTAGTATATTTACAATTATTAAGTACAAAAATGTGTATAAACAAGTGGTAAATTTAAAAATTTTGTTTAACCTTCTTCAATATAAATATAATGAGAACATCGTTAATGTAGTCGAAGTCAATTAAAAATTAATTATTAAGGATAATTCAAAAACTAGGTCAGATCTTGATCAAATTTATATGGGACGACATGAGAAGCACCAGCTTTCAAATAAAAAAGAATAATCAAAATCAGTGCATCTAGAAAAAAAATTCTAAGATATACAATAAAAAAAAAACACTCGAATTGAGAACTTCCTCCTTTTTTTTTGAAGTCGGTTGAAAAATAATGCACAACTAAATTAGTACTTTAAGTGGCTTTTATTATATAGGAATGGGCAAACGAGCATATATTTTAGTTTGATATCCGTATTGTGTAGTCGTTCCCAAAGCATTCACGATCCCGATTTTCAGGTTTCTTCTCGCGTAAATGTGATTCAACACTTTATTCTTAATCAGATACAAACCATAAATTATGGAAAGTATAAAATATTTATTTAGCCATACCCTGTTGTTCTGCTTTTTTCAAATAATCTGCTAAGTTTTCTTCAGTTATCGCCAAGGATATATTCATAATTTTGCATTCATTTCTAATTAACAATAAGCTTAAGCGCTGTATTAACTCATCGACAATAGAGCTTCTGTGACTTTCACATATCCAACTAAGTTCTAAGGTGACTAACATTAAGGTTTTTACAAAAGTGCATAAATCTTGTCTATACAAACATGGTAACACTTCCTCTTGAAAAATATTTGTCGCCAAATCTATTGTTTCACACAACTTGATTGTGGGATATGTGAGTGATTGTTTATCGTTCCACCACTCCCTTAGCAAAATATAATTATAAATGGGATGTTCTTTTGGACTAGAAACAGTCAATGAAGCCTCACATTCTCTACAACTAATGTTTTTAAGAACAGCGTAAGCTAAGTAACCACTTACGTAAACAGTCGGTTGTTTATCAAATGATTTGAAAAATGCATTAATTTCTTCGAATTCCATCTCTTTATTTAGAATATAGTCTGCGATTTGGAATTGCGGTACTGTTTCTCCTGAGTTAAACTCAGAACTATCATGGGATTGGGAATTCCTTACTTGGTTTGTAGGTTTTAAGACTGGAAATAGAATATCATTGAAATCAAACAGTACATTGTTACTGTCTTTCTCACAGTTGGACCCTTTACTCAGCGGCGTGCTGAGGCGAGTCAGTATTGATGATTTTAATGCTCCCTTGAAATGATGGCAAGTTGGATTTCTATTTGTTGGACTATGTTGCCTTATTATTCCAAATAAGTTTTCGAGAGCGTCTTGATGTAGCTGTCTTAAATTTAGATATTTAAAACCTTTTGAAGCAACGTACTCCCAAATACATTCCAGAGATTTTATTGTTATTAGGTAGCCGTTAATGCATAGAACATTTTTTGATCTGATGTCACTATCGAATTTTAAAAAAAAACAGAGTTTTTAGTATTTCCTTGTACTTTGGCCAAAGTTGGTGGTGAAAACTGTTTTTGCTAACATTTGTCCGTAACCTTTTTTCACATCATTTTTAGAAGCTAGTCCATTGGTGCAGTCAAACAAATTATCGAGCAATTCAATTACTTCAGCAGTTTGTAAAAGAGCATTGCTTTGTTCTTTATTTTCAGTGTTCTCAGATATCAATTTCAAAATAGCAGCTACTGTGTTGCTCAAAATTTGTGCGGCTGTTTTTACCCTCATTTTAGCACGATATTTAGGAGCAACATGCATTTTTGTTATTTTAGTAAATCTCAGCTTCATTCGGTTGTTTTCTTCGACCTGGATCAAATAAGACCATTGAGCTTTTTTATTATTCAGCATCATAACCCCAGCCTGAAGAAAGCTGTTCCTAATAGACTTAAATAGATGAGGCACATCATAAATAATGTATATTTTTTCTTCGTTTAGTAAAAAATAATTATGATCTAGAGGAAGACCACTTCTCTTTTTGAGTAAGTTTAATGCACCTACATTTGTAGGACCCTGATCGCAAACTGTTGTGAGAACTTGATATCCAACTGAATTGATGGCGTTGATATTGGTATTTATTATATTATCAAAATTTTCAGATGAGATTGTTCCTTTAGTAAAATAATAGGAAAAGGGCTGCTTAATATTTTTATAAATGCCTTGTAACATAAAAACAAGAGCGTTGGTCAGCGATACGTTCAGAACGGCCTCCACTGTTACCTAAATCTTCGTAACCATCAATTTGGTCTAAAGAAGGATTGTAAATAAGCCGTTTTTTTAAAGCAATTTCGTCATATAAGAGGGCGCAATATTTTTTTTTTCTGACAATTGCTCAGCTTTTCTTTTTAAATGGTCTAAAATATTTTGATTAATGTCTGGCTTCATTTTCATATTTTCTAATACACTCTGTAAAGTGCGAATGCTTGGCATTGGCAATAGCTGTCTTAAATATTTATACGATTTTGGTGACTTTTTATAAATTGCTAAAGCTACACTTTTATTTAAATTTGACCATCTCTTGCCATGCGGTTTACGTTTCTGATTTTTTACAGTCGATTGAATAAGGCTCTTTAACACTGGCGATTCAATTTTTTCTACTTCTTTTACTGTTTTCTTTAGATGTTTATTTATTATTTTATAATTCTGTAATTGCCTTAAAAGTTTTTTTTTCTGAGGAGAGACAGATTTAGCTGCAAAAATAAATAATATTTATATAATTTAATAGTACAAAGTGTAAAAGCTAATATGTCAAAATTATAGGATCTTACATTTATAAGTAATTGAATTTGCAGCCGCGGGTTCAGGCATCTGCTCATTTTTATTATTAATTTGTGATATTGATTGTAATAAAGCTGCTGCAATAAAAAAAGATCGTTAAAACATATTGGTATTAATACAAAGGTAATATAAATTATTATTATATTATTATTATATACGTATAACTACGTCGTAGAGTTATACCAGGTAGATTCATGCTGCAGCTATCTTATGATTGTAGCACAAATGGGTCGGCTCGAACGGGGAAGGACCACGCTTTTACAGAATACCAGAGTAAAATAGCAAGTCATTGCTCCTGTGTTTCGTACGGCGAGTGTAGAGAATTAAAGTCCCTTTTTACTGGAAACTAGGCATTCCATCTTAGTCCTCAGGGGTGACAACGCATGTGCATTTTGATTTCTAATAAATGGCTATGGGCCACAGCATCCACTTACCATCAGGTGGAATGTATGCCCGCATGTCACCCTAATTCTATAAAAAAAAGTAAAATTAACTACATATTGTATAATAAGAAATGTTCATTATTTCGTAAATTTCTACTGCTAGACATGGGCTCTTCCTTTGCAAGGACGATTTGGCTTAATTGTCACGCTTGCCAGGCGGATTTAGGATTGCAGCAACAGACGTCTCGCATCTTTGTCTGAGAATTGTGACTCTTCGTGCATGTCCTCTATAGCGATCTCTCACATCACCCAAAGACGAAATGAGGTAAGGGATTCTCTTACGTCATCATCACTCGGCGATATTAACGATAATAATAAATGATTAATTAATAATTACTAACATTCACGATCACATAATACCCTTTGCTTTTTGTTCAAAGGTGTTTCCATACTTTGAGATTTTGACGTAGAAAAAGATGGTTCTGTAATAGTTAAAAATATTAGATAAGATTATTCAGCGATTTAACAACACTTAATTCTATGAATATCAATAAATAATTTTTTCCAATGCGAACATTGTGGCATTCCTTGGGGGAGGCCTATGTTCAGCAGTGGATTTTTTTTTTTTATAGAATAGGGGCCGAACGAGCATGCGGCTCACCTGATGGTAAGTGACTACCGCCGCCCATGGACCGCCCATGGACCGCCCGCCCGCAACACCGGGAGAGTTGCAGATGCGTTGCCGGCCTTTTAGAAAGGTGTAAGCTCTTTTCTTGAAGGTTCCTAAGTCGTATCGGTCCGGAAAATTCGCTGGTGGTAATTGATTCCACAAGGAAGTTGTGCGAGGGAGAAAACTTCTTCTAAATCGCACAGTGCTGGACCGCCAATCATCCAGATGGTATGGATGGTAACGCGAGTTTTGTCGCGATGTGCGATGGTGAAATTGAGCGGCTGGAATTAGTCCGAACAATTCCTCAGAGCACTCCCCGTGATAGATGCGATAAAATACGCAAAGAGATGCAACATCTCTTCGCAGTGCCAGTGTATCGAGCCGATCGGAAAGAACTCGGTCGTTGACGATTCGAATCGCTCTGCGCTGGATTCGGTCAAGTGGAAGGAACTGGCACTGGGGTGCCCCGGCCCAGAGATGAGAACAACCCTCCACCTCCCATGGCCCCACCGACCCTCAGGTCATACGGGCCGAATCTCGGGAGATGCGCGCGGTACTTGCACGTGGCTCTTTCCCGCGCACACTTTCTTGGCTCCCTACAAATATTTAATCTGTTTCTTGTCCCAGTTTAACGTCATTCTCCCCCTTCTGGGG